ACGTAACGTATGTATACACACACACACACACACACACACACACACACACACACACACCTCCTGTTAATTACCAGTCAAAGGTAAAGATATAAGCAATACTGAAAAGCAAATAAATTTCAGATTAAGATAATAGTTTTCTACAGGCTATAAGAAATCTAGAATAAGCATAGTTCATAGAAATATAGTTATTCTAATTCTGTCAAGAATGCCATTGGTATTTTAACAGGGATTGTATTAAATCTGTATATTGCTTTAGGTAGTATGACATTTTAACAATAGTCATTCTTCCAATCCATGAGCAAGGTACAGTCAAACTTCAGTTCTCAGATTTCTCTCATCTTGAACATTTCAGTTCTCCACCAAGTTGCTCACAGAAAAAAATGTCTTGGTTATTAATGTTCTGGACCTGACAACCCTTTCATGCTGATGTATCAGCATGACAAAAGTGTCTTTCAGGTCACAAACAAAGGAGAGAATGATGTGAATATTTTTGTAAAGATTTTTTTTTTGCTTTTTTTTTATGGTGAAATGAATGATTAGCACAATTTCAAAACATAAAGAGGACGGAAACCAAGATGGCGGCATAGGTAAGCACCTGAAATTGCTGCTTCGCACAACCACTTCAAAACTACAATAAAAGACAAAATGGACATCATCCAGAACCACAGAAAGGCTGGCTAAGTGGAAATTCCACAACTAGAAGGAAAGAGAAAAGCACACTGAGACTCAGAGGAGGTGCAGAAGAAAAGTGCAGAGATACGGAGGTGCGTAAGGAGAGGGCTGGCAACTGAGGACACGGTTGTCTTTTTCAACCAGGAGGGAGTCTCAAGCTCCCGACTGCTCTGAACTCCAGTTCCAGGCGGGCGAGTCTCTGGGGACCCAGACTCATACAGGGAGAAACTGAACTGTCTGGCATCTGGTAGAACTCAAGGGCGGCTTTCTCTCAGAGGTGCTTGAAGCGATTACCAATTACTGAGGGACACTGAGACCCGGGGCCTCTTAGGGCAGGGTTGAGGATCAGCCATAGCTGTTTGCTCCACACTGTTGATTCCCTGAGACCCCACCCCACCCAGGCTGTGCATAGAGGCTTTTGCATATGAATGACCTGGCCCTTTGCAATATAAAATTACCTAACAAACTGCAGAAGGGTTAGAGAGACCCAGAACATCCAAAAGAAGGCCCAAGGCCCAACAGCAGCTTGCATTGCTTCACAGCTGGGCCTCATCTGGGCACCTCCAAACCCCAAACAAAGAAGAGGAATCTGCAGATCTCTCTGTAGCTCCTGCTGGGTAGCCACACACAGAGGCTAAATTAGCACCTCCTTAGAGATCCAAGAGCCAGTGTACCCAGTGGTCAGAGTGGGACCATCCAGATTACAACTCCTCAGATCCATAAGGGACACACTCAGGGGGCAGACTAAGTGAGCATCAAAGCCCCAATGAAGCAAGTCTTGCCCCATAAGGTTGTCTCTAACACAGAAGTTCTCCCACCGCAGAAACAGCTGATTCTCACAGCCAATGGGCCTAGAGGTCATTTCTTCCCAGTGATACCTACAGCAATCAAGGCTCAACTACAACAAGACTGTGCACAAAGCCCACAAAGGGGTGCACCAAGAGTGTCCACTTCAGGTAATTGGGGAGGCTGAGCCACTGGCCCCAATAGGACACCTAGCATAGAAAGCCACTCTATCAACACAGGGAAGCAGCCATAATGTGGAGACAAAGAAACAGTTCACAAATTACAGAAATGGAGGAAAGCAAACTACTGGATATAGAGTTCAAAACCATAC